CCCCCCCCCCCTTACCAACCACAGGAAGGGGGGGGGGATTCAGAGGAAAATGACCAGCAAACAGGATAGTGGTTTATTGTGTCTTATACTCTCGTTTAGCCAAGCTGCTGGGGCCTTTTTTCTTATGTACAATAATTTATTATATCCTAAAAGGGAGTCTTCATCTGTCCTAATCTGATCTATAGGTATATTCATTTTAAAAAAAAGAGCCAGTCCTCTTTTTTTTTTTTGTTGTTGTCATCAGCCGTGTGTATATAAACTCATGAGTTCACTTACAAGCCTGTGTGCTATACGGATGATCCAGAGGTGCGAGCAGATGTGTGAAAGATGGAGGGAGGAGGAGGAGGAGGGAGTCCAGACTGAGGCTCACAGGTGGTGGTGGTGGGGGGGGGGGGGGGGGGGTGCTCAGAGCTTGAGGTTCTTTATGGTTTCCGCCCTCTTCTTGAGCAGGTCTCCCACCTCCTGCAGCGAGCGCAGGTAGCTGCTCTGGACTTTGTCCACGGCCGCTCTCGTAAACGACGCCTCCTCCTGGAAAACAGGCAAATTAAGCCCACGGGGAATAAATAAAGGATACTTGGTGGAAATGTATATTGTACGATTCAAATTAGACCTAATTTAAGTCATATAAACGTGCCCATGTATTTTTTCAAATGCAACTAAAATTGAAAAATTGTCAATACATGTACTGAAATAATCTAAAAATACAAATAAAGTCAGACGTAGTATAGAAATATACATCATCATAAAAGGTAAGCTGGTTTAAAAATGACCTCCATTTGGACTTTAAATGGAAAAAAAGAAAAAAGAATGCTCTCAAAACAAAATGGGTCTTCTGTCATATTTGAATCTTCCTGAATGATTTCAAACCTGAAGGTGTAAAAGACTTAATTGAGTTAAAAAAGATTTGATGTGCATCTATAGTTTTTGGACACATGCTGCAAATAAATGAAGTACATTTAATTAAATTTACCAAAAAAATACTCAGCGAGCATGATAAACTGCTCAATTTTCTGCATTCAACGAGAACATTTAACCTTTTTTATTGAAAAAAAAAAGCTTCGCCATTCCAGTGTTTCTGTTTTCCATTTTCTAACAAAAAAAGGGCGAGATGACAGTCCAGATTACACTATGACTTACTTTTTTACTTTTACATATCAGTAACGAGCAGAAATGTACAGTAACGAAGTAGGACTACTGTACTTAAGTACCAAAATGCAGTATCTGTACTTTATTGGAGTATAGATTTTTTGCCCTACTTTCACTTTTACTCCACTACATATTTTTTAAATTAATTTAATACTTTTACTTTCACAGGCTGAATCGTTACTTGTTACTTCCATACTTCCTCTTAAGTATGGTGTTTAAAGAACACTTCAACTTTTACTCAAGTCAATTTTTTTTATATAGTACTTGTACTTCTACTCCAGTACTGTATACATCTCTGGTAACAAGTAACAATTCAGTCCGTGAAAGTAAAAGTAAAAGTATTAAATTAATCAAAAATATGTACTGGAGTAAAAGTAAAAGTAGGGAAAAAATATGTACTCCAATAAAGTACAGATACTGCATTTTGGTACTTAAGTAAAGTACTAAGGTAGTTCTACTTTGTTACCTTACATCTCTGTTTAGGAGTAAGCTTGAGCATCGTCTCATTACCGGGGTTCACACAGAGACTATCAGAAAAAAAAGCTTCAACACATCCTGCCGTTTTGAACTTTAATGTCTTGAGTTTCAATGCGGGCCACCATAACATCAGTAACAGGTCAGTTTGAAACCAAAGACACTAACCTGTCAAAATTCAGTTACATTTTAGGGTCTTTGTTTTTATCCTTGCGGTATCGAAAATGGTATCGAGTAACGAATATTTTCCTGAGTATCGGTATCGAGTTGAACATTTTAGTATCGTGCCAATGCTAGTTTCCGGGCATAAAAAGGCAGAAAACAGTTTTTCGGTTTAGTAGGACTGACCTGCGTGTGTCCTTCCAGGGATAAAGCGGCTAGTTTGAGGGCCGTGATGGCGGCCTCCTGGCCCTTTATGTGCTCCAGCGCCTGGGCCAGGAGGTCCTGCAGGCCCCCGGTCAGCTCCTGGAAGCCACACACCACCAGCGGCTACGGGAGAGTTAGCACAGTTAGCACCACAGAGGGGGGGGGCTCAAGACAGAGTTTATTTATTTATTTCTTTAATCAGGACAGTGCACATTAATGAACAATCTCATACAGATTGTAAATGAGCCAGATTACAGGACTGTCTCAGAAAATTAGAATATTGTGATGAAGTTCTTTATTTTCTGTCATGCAATTAAAAAACACGAAATGTCATACATTCTGGATTCATTACAAATCAACTGAAATATCGCAAGCCTTTTATTGTTTTAATATCGCTGATTATGGCTTACAGCTTAAGAAACCCAAATATCCTATATATCCTATCTCAAAATATTAGAATATTGGATTTTTGAGTTTTCTTCAGCTGTACGCCATAATCATCTATATTAAAACAACAAAAGGCTTGCGATATTTCAGTTGATTTGTAATGAATCCAGAATGTATGACATTTCATGATTTTTAATTGCATTGCAGAAAATAAAGAACTTTATCACCATATTCTAATTTTCTGAGACAGTCCTGTGTAGCATAGTTGCTAGTTTACATCTGTAGTCCTGAGGCAGGAAGACCAAATAACAGAAAATCACAAAATACAAAATCAGTCCAAACTCACATTCAGACAATGACATTACAAAATTAAAATTAATTCAATTAAATTTTATTTATATCCTCCTGAGACCTGGCCCATTCATTTATGTCCATTATAGTGGACATTTAGTCCACCTGTACCCCCCCTAAGTATCTGGAGTTACCCTATCAGCCCTATAGTGTTCTGTAGAGCACATCCTGGGCTTTCCAGTGATGTGCCATGTGATAGGTTTGCATGCTGGGAACTTTACTTTTTTCCTAAGAGTTCTTAGGTAAATATCCCTTTCAAGACATTTTCTTTTTTATTATTTAATCATCTAAAGCCTGTTCTATTTTCCCATGCAAATCGTCCTGTTGTCCTCCACAGTGGACATGCTATGAAATTAAAATTAAATATATGTTTTTAAAAATTCAAATTGTAATGTTCTTTTTTAGCTCCAAATACATGGAAATTCACAACAAAAAAGAAATTTGAAGAGACTTTTTTTCTTTGGGTCTCAGGAGGATAAAGCGCCACATCACAACAACAGGTCAGACCCTACTCTGAAGTTAAATACAGAAACCCAACAATTCCCACCATGAGCAAGCACTAGGCGACACAAGCAAGGAAAAACTTCCTTTTAACAGGCAGAAACCTCGAGCAGAACCATGGCGGATTTTTAGCGTTTTTTGGCTTCTAAACGCGGAAAAATGAACCCTAAATCACAATCTGAATCAGAAATACTTTAGTTATAGTTATACTCTGAAGTTAATTACAGAAACCCAACAATTCCCAACTCAGAGGGGGGGGGGGGACTCTACCATCACTGCGTTTGCGTCCTTTTTCTTCTTCTTCTTCTTCTGTAAACTGGTTTTGAGCGGCCGGAGGATCTTGGCACAGGAACTAGCCATCCACAGCACTATGCTCACCGTCTGAGGATCAAAGGGGCTCAGTCAGACTCCATTTCCCCCCCAAAGGCTCAGGAGGGAGACCTGGGGGGGGGGGGCTCACCCCCACAAAGAAGACGAGGCTTTCTAATAAGGAGGGATGCGTTTTGAATTTGCTGCCGTTCATTTCCAATAAATCTCCTCGGCATTTATTCAGGATTTCTGTGGACAGAAGAGGAGGAGACGTCAGGAAAAAGTATGGATACTCAAAAAAATATGGATACTCAAAAAAGTATTGATACTAAAATGTTGTATGCTCATTTTGAAAAGTATTGATAGCCCCCTACCTGCGTCCCTTTTCTCTGATTTATTTACTTATTTACGTTATTTGTCATTATTCAAATATTTATATTGGGTTTTGCACTTATAAAACAATGACCCTAAGTCCCCAAACAGCAACCCCAACATAAAGAATTATAAAGTGACAATAATAACACACATAAATAAATAAATACATAATAAATAATAAAAATAAAAATAAAAATAATAATTAAATAACAATTAAAAATTAATAAAAAAATATATAAAAAATTAATAAGAGCCTGTGAATCAGTTATGTCCCAGTATTTCCAGCAGGGAATTGTAAGTTAAAATAATTTAGAAATGGCTGCCAGACCTTATTAAATCTCTGGGTTGAACACCAAAATATATTTTTGACTTATTGCACGCTAATTTGATCAAAATAATTTCTGTTTTTTTTTCTTCATATGTTGTTGAGGGGCCAAAGAAAGACTTCAGACTAAAAAAATCCAATATTCTTCCTATTTTTCTTGGATCAGGCTTTAAAGGGTTACATTTTGGGGTCTTTTATCCTTGTGGTATTGAATATTTTCCTGAGTATCGGTATCGAGTTGAACATTTTAGTATCGTGACAACCCTAAATCTAAGAGAAATCCGGGCGTTAGCTCACCTTGAAGCTGAACTACTAAAGATTTGAACGCGTTACAGATCTGAGTTTGAAGCTCCGACGACTCGTCTAGGAGAGAGAGAGAGAGAGAGAGAGAGAGAGAGAGAGAGAACCAGAACCGTGAGGCACAACAAAAACAACACAAAGTGGGCGTGGCCTATCCCGTGGGGGGTGCTCTCACCGAGCCCGGCCGCCTCCAGCTCCTGCAGGTGCACCGACAGCTGCAGGGCGGCCGCCTGGCACTGGCAGCTGCCGCTGGCCAATGCTGCGGCCAATCGGGTGGAGGGGGGGCCCAGGAAGGGGAACTGAAACCAGAGCACAGCGGTTAGCAAAACAGAGCTAAGCAAAAATAAAAACAGAGTTTTTAAAAAAAATTTAATTTAATTTTTTTAAGAAATATTTTTATTGAATTTTATAACAAAAGAAAGAGCAAGTGACCGTGATACACTTAACACAGATCCTTATTAAATAACTTGGTCCCCAAAGCAAACAAACACAAATAAACAATAATGGACAATAAAAACAGAGTTAGAATGACCAGAACAAAGCAAAAATAAGCTAAAATGAGCCAAATAGAGCCAAAGGAAGCTAAAATGTATCCTGCCAGTTATCTAACAGCAGCTAAAGCAGGGGTCGGGAACCTATGGGTGTGGATCTTTTGATGATTGCATCTGGCTCGCAGATAAAACAAAATATTCTCACTTGTATACAAATACAAGCTACAAATATCCATCCATCGATTTTTTACTGCTCATTTCCTGTTCAGGGCTGCAGGAGCAGAGCGCTCTTTGCAGGAGCAACAGCAGCTAAACCATCGAGCAGCCTCTGGAGTCTGTAGGAGCTTCGGCTGGATATCCAGCTCCTCCCACATCCAAGTCGGCCATTTTGATTAGGTCATGTGACTAGGAGTTTTCTGAGGTGGAAATGAAACTTTACTGTCTATACGAAATCAGAAGACAAACGATGTCCTAAACCTAACCCTAAACCTTAACCTGACCCTATTCCTTACCCTAACCTTAACCCTAAACCTAACTCTAACCCTAATCCTAATCCTAACCCTGACCCTAAACCTAACCCTTAATATGACCCTAATCCTAACCCTGACCCTAATCTTAACCCTAACCCTCCACCCTTCATAATTTTGAGGGTGGAGGGTTCATAATTGTGAGAAATAAATATTTTTTTGGGTTGTTTGGACTTATTGTACAGATTCATTTCACTATTTTTAAATTAACGTCTATATCACCATGAAACAATTAGGATTTTCTTGCCTGGGATCTTCCTATTGGTGCCCTAATCAAAATGGCCGAATTGGATGTGGGGGAGTTGGATATCCATCCTTGGCTTCCTGCAGACTTACTTGATTAATATTGGCGTGTTATTATTAGCCATTAGCCGCAGCTAGCAATTCAAGGCTAACATCACGTTAAAGATCATAAACAACGGCTGTAGAGAATTGCAATCTGCTCTGTCATCTATTCTTTTGGTATGTATTTGTATATGTGAATATACAGGTATGTATACATGTATGTGTGTATACATTATATATATTTTGCTGTTGGATTACTTTATGTTGCATTTTTGGCCTGTGTGGGGGCACCCTGGAGGGGAAGGGGAGGGGTGTGGGTTTGTGTGTATGCATGTATACATATGGTAGTGTGTATGTGCAGTTTTCTCTTTTAGGGCATTCAAAGTTTCAGGGATCTGGTTTATTGAGCTGCATTTAGTTTGGAATATTGTATATGTGGCATCAGTATTTCTGTTATTGATTTTATTGCTCTTGGCTCAGGGGATGTTCGTTTGTTGTGAAAATTCTTGAAAATAAAGTCTGGATCTGGGTATTCTCCTGCCATTTTTTTGCAAATATCAGCGGCCGATCCGTTTCAGATATCGTATCGAGACAAGCCTAGCGTCTGCTATGAGGCCGAGAGGTCAAAGGTCAGGAAAAATGTTTATGTTTATGCATTTGGCAGACGCTTTTATCCAAAGCGACTTACAGAGTAGACACAATATTACATTTATATTACATTTATATATCTATATTATGATCTTTTTATCCAAAATAACACAATATTACATTTATATTACATTTATATATTTATATTATAAACAACGTGAATAAATACATACATACATACATACATACATCCATCCATACATCCATACATCCATACATACATACAT